TACAAGGAGTTAATGGCATAATTTTTAGGACCTGAGCATCTGTTAGCGTTAAGGCCAACCTATATGAGTCAGATAGTGTTTGTAGAAGCAGAGTCTATAGTATTTGTACAATGTACCATAGACTGCTTGGTAAGCAAGACAAGCTTTGCAGACATTAGAATTATATTTGTTGACCTTTTTAATGTTAAATAATAGAATGTATAATGGTATTATTGGATACAGCCCTCGATCCTTTTTTAAACTTCATTATATGTAATGAGTTAAGAGAGCTTGTGAGAGGGAAAGGTCCTGCAGGATTTTGGAGGCTTCTGTAAAATATTTATTGGAGTTTTGAAATTCACTTAAAGATTTTCTGAGCGGAGAATCCAAGCAAGTTAGAAAACATGCAGTGAAGGTTGAGAGTCTCTTACAGAGTTGTTAATTAATGAGTGCAGATGATTTAGGATTTTGGCTATAATGTAAAATATTTTCATTCAAATGAGCTGTGTGGGAAATAAGTGAATAATTTGTTCACTACAAAAATGTGGGGTTTTTTAATCCCTGATTTTTCAAAAGCTTCCATAGAAGATTTATAGCACACAATACTTTGATTCTCTTGAATGATTTGCTTTGCGCTGTAGCTAAGTGAGGTCTGAATTTGAGATGTTTGCCTGAGTTTTCTTGGATTTCTGCCAATTGCTATGAGAAAGTATGATGATGAAACCTTTGCTTTGTAATGCATTACTGTAATGTGAGTCTGTCTTGTAATACTTAGAGATCTTGGATATCTAAGGGAAATATAAAGCCAAAATCAAGATATTAGATAATAAAGCAGACTAAATGTTTTTGTTTGAAGGCTACAAGGTCTGCTAATGACTTATACTGTATGTATGTATTCCACTTCATCTGAAAAGAAAACAGAAAACCTGTGAAGAGTTAGATTGTTGTCTGGAAGATGGTGAACTATTCCCTTTCTGACACCTCAGGTTGCTGTTACAGTTGTGTCCAGCAGAACTCTGTACTCGTAGCTGCTCGCCCCCCTGGCAAGTGCTCTGACTAGATCTCTGGAATAATTAGCAGCTTTGCGGAGTAGATGTTCAAGCACAGTGACTACAGACCCAAAGATTTTCTTGACCAACAGAAGGAAAAAAGAGATTTTGTGAGAAACTGGTGAATTAAAGCAGTTTTCACTTGTTTTCCACGTTTGATCTTAAATAGCGGTTTGATAGATTTGAGTTTTGGCTGACAGTCTTTCTAAATGGCCATCTTGCTAGTATCACATCTTTCCTGGATGTTTTTCCCAGAAAATTTTTCCAGTGGTAATGGCGCAGAGACAGTCTATGTGAGTAAAACTTGAAGCAATGTGTAAGTTTCAGATACTGCTACATCTTGCCTTTGTCTCTTCCCTTCTTTAGAGATAATTGGGATGTGACTTTACAGGGTATGCTAGGATCTGGCGGCAAGCTCGCTCTGTCTGTCTTGCTATGGCTTACTCTGAAATAATTTCAAATACATTGATATGATTTAGTTGCAGAGAGTTATTAGCTGGAATTCACATATCACAGGAGACAAGTGGTTACTTATGAAGCCTAGGAAAGGTGACTGTTAGGTGAGACAACAACTTGAAGCTAAAGGGAAGGAATTCACTGATGATAGCACTGGATTGAGAAATGGGAGGTCAGTTCCCAGTTCTTCTCAGTTCATTCTACTACTCTGGTGTCCCATTGTGAAATGGGATTATAGTTGCCTGGTTTTATTGATAAATTATTTGGAGCAGTGACCTCTAAACTGATTGAAATGTCTAAGAGCTTCTGTAATAATAATAGGTCAGCAGGCATTAGTTAGTTGAACTTAAATTCTTCCTTCAATAAAGATTTAGTTTTCCATTGATGCTGTACCCCAGGGGCTTAGCTACAAGACGTGCTGTTTTGGTCATCCTGTGTCAAGGCATTTGTTTCTGACTTCTGGAAGTATAATTTATTCTGACTGTCACAAGATAAAATAGGTCTGTATTTTTTTTCCTTTCAGTGAAAATGCATTCCTTTTGACACCAGAGCTTACTCCTCGGAAACTCAGAGGTTTGCCTTTTGAAAAAGCAGCTGGATGCCATTATCATGGACTTGAGTAAGTTTCCTGTCTTCTTTTCCCAAAATTATTTTTCAGGTTCTGGTCAAGATATAATTAGAAACATTTTAGGCAAGTTGAACGTTAATTATGGAAAACTTTATGTATCCTTTTCCTTTGGAACAACTTTGAACATGCCACCTCTCCCTTTCATACCTTTATTGTATTCACTGGTTTAAATTGCAACACTCCTGCCTTGATGGTAATGTACAAACATTTAGGGTTTTTTTCTAAGTTGTACTGTTATAGCTGTTTTCAGTGTCTCTGAAAATTTCAGTTCAGAATTGGAAGTGGCAAGGGGAAGAGGGTTCATTAGTACATATCAAATCCCTGGAGCAGCACATGAGTGAACTACATCTGTAGTTCCTACTTTGATATTAAATTGTAGGTACTTTTAGACTAACAGGCATGAAGTTTATTAGACCTGCTGTGAAGCTACCTGTATGTTCAGGGAACCTGAAAACAACACCAGCAGGCAAGTGTTAGTGGTAAGAATCTTTGAAAGGATCGATATGGTTAAGGACTGTAGTTAGTCCCAGACAGCCAGTGTTAGTTACTTGTCAAAGCTTCAGATGGGCAAACATCATATAATGTAGCTGTGTAAAAATTGTTTAGAAAAATATAAATATTTTCATTGAGGAGAAGAGGAAAAGGACATACACAAACGCCAGAATAGATAATTCAGCATAACGCTCTTGTGTGGACAGACTTTTAGTCTTAACGCAGTATATATAAAGAAATGCAGGATACCGAGCGTAGGCAGTTTGGTCTTCATGCAAATTTCTACCACCTCCTAAAATTGTGTTTTCAGATTATCAGAATGCGAGTAATGATACTGCTGGTATTTTCTCCTATCAACTGCACAAATACTTTGGTTAAGCCTATGTTTCATATCTGATAGTTATAACCACATTCTCTAGGGAAGTGAAGCTGTCATTCTACCTGTTCGGCTATCTGTTTCCTCTCTTTTTTTTAAGTGGTAACTCTGTTAGCCTTTTTAGGTTTGTAACAAAAGGCACAAAGAGGCGACTGCATAGACAGGAGAAATGCACATTTGTCCTCCCAGGTGTGGGAAGAAAGCATGTGGCTGTTGTCTGTTGGTATGTGGTAGCTTGCTGACCTGCCTGACCTCAGCAGGGAGCGTGCGTGAGGATTCACAGCTTGTGCTGCCTCTTCTCGTAGCAGATATGACAGATAGAGACCACAGAGAGGCCTGGATATTGTGGAGGGGAGGGAGACCCTGGCACATTAACGTTACAAGGAGAATATGCTAGCAATGAGGGAGGGAAGCAGTAGAGTGAGATGGTAGAAACTAGCGTGAAAGGGAGGAACCTACAGCGGTACAACCAGAAAGTGTTGTAGCAAGAGTTATCATATGGTCTTTTGGAGCAGATGTGTTTTGTACCATGGAGTTGTGATTGCAGTTTTCATCTGCATAGCTGCTGTATTTATATTTGGAAGTAAAATCTTGTCAAAAAAACAGGAGTAGCAGTTGTGACGAAATCAAATTTCTGGTGTAAGGATCCTGTGTTGCAAAGAGAAAGTAATTGCTGTTAAAGCAGAGTGAGTAAAATGGCAATTTAACTTCTGAAGATAAAAACATTTTTATCTTTGTAGGGGATGTGATTACTCAGGGGACTGAGAATATAAATAAGGAAAATGAAATACCTTGAAATTTGTGAGTTAAGAGAACTTACTCTTATCAGATAATGAATTTATTTCTAGTGGAAAGTCTTACTCAGCTGTAGAAACAGATTCAGTGGTCTGTTATTAGAAAAGTTAATTTCTCCCTTAATATGAAAATACTTTGAAGGAAGTGGGAAAAATCAGATCTAGCAATTTAACGTAACTCCATGTTACGAGATAAAAGTAAAGAATATGTCTGGGGTTCCTAACAGTAGGAAACAATGGTAAGTAGTTTGGAGGGAGGGCTGAGAGACAGCTCACAGTGTTCAGAATGCTTGTTAAGAAAAGCATGGAATAATATTGGATAATACTGTTGTCTTCCCCTGCAGTAGAGGTAATGTAAACATTGGTCTCTTGCAAGGAATCTTGTAAATCATTTACATGAGAGAAAAGTTATTTAAGTTGCATTTTGTATTGTAATCTCATGAGTATGTTTCACTGCGTTAGCACTGTTCATTTGTTCTCTTTCAACTCCACCGTATTTAATACAGTTTCTTCTTTTGATTTGGTTGCTAAAACCACTTATTCTTTGTAATCAATAGGAAGCTGGGAAGCTTGTGCTTGTTCAGTGACGCTTTTTTATGTTTAGCGTTTGAAAAATGTGACTCTGTCATATAGCAGTGCTTATCGCGGACAAAGCTAAATGTTGCATTTCCAAAGAGTGCAGTTAGCAAAGAATCTATACTAAATAGCATTTAAAACACTTGCCATAGCCTATCTTTCTCATACTTACACTCAATTAATACAGTCTCACAACAACCTAGTTCTTGGCACAACCTGGCTTCTCCTAAAATGTTGTTAGTATCATTGCATTTTGGGATTCTAGAAGTACTCCTAACTTGCAAATCACGTATATTGTACTTTGGGATGCTTTCTCCAGGCATTTCCTATGTGATTCTCTTATGGCATATGCACTGAAGTAATCCTGGGTTGGTTGGTTGGTTGGTTTTGTTTGACTAGAAAAGTTGCATTCTCCCAGGAAGAAACAGACATACTGTATGATCATATTGTCATAATAGTGTTTCATTTTATAGATAATAACCTGATATTTTCTGGGTCTCAAAGTTTTGGTGGATGCTTGCAAGATCTGAAGATACTGTGTCCGTTATAGTGTGCTGGGTTCATCATGTATTTGGGTTCAGGGTTACTCTCATTGCTGGTTTATTGGAGTGTCACTGGGATTAGCCCGTTAACAGGGGTAACATCAGTTACCTATGGACTGAATCTGAAAAACAGTAAAATCTAAAATAGAGAGACTGATGATACAAAGGTAATACAAAGCTGACTATAAGGAGTAAAAAATCCATTGTCAGCATCCTAATCCATCGCTTGTTGTTCAAGGAAAAAATTCTGCTAATGTCCATGGGAATTTTATTTGTAAGACCACAGGGTAAACACAAATAGTATATGATTCAGGTTGTTCATTGAAGTTAGACTTAAATATAGCTAAATCCATCAGGCATGTGGTAATTTATTGGGCTGTTGTAAGGTATCCTTCAGAACAGTACACCAGTCCAAACAAAAAAAGTTTTGGAGATTATATGATAGTCAAAACTAAGTTGTTGGTTTTTGGGTTTTTTTCTGATTGTAAGAAAGCAGAGACTTTCTCTCACAGATTTCTCACCAATTTCAATTTTAGATATTGTCTAGATAACAGAAGAGCCTTAGAGAGAGATGTGGGATATGCTGAACTTCAAACGCGTCTTATTCGCTATGAAACTCAGACTACTTGCACCAAGGAGTGCTGCCCTGTGCCAGGCGTCTTGAGCCCTCTCCCATCTCCCGCAGTCTTGTCAGAGCCTGGAAGTGTCCCTGATGGAGAGTCTTTACAAAGTGAATTCAAAACAGAGGCAGCAAGGCTAAAACGCAGATCAAAAGACTTGGATTGTTTTTATCCCAAGAAAAGGTAATGCACTAAATAAAATAAATCTTTAGCATGAAATAGTTCAGCAGTCTCTTGTGAAATATATCTTTTCTTTCATCTCCAAATGTTTTTAGTGAAGCTATCTAGACAAATGTTCTAGTTGTTTAATCCTCTTCTGTAGGTTCATATTTTTTTCCCCAAGTATGACCTCTCATTGATAGCATTAGATTAATCAAAACCATGCAGCACAGGCATTTTTTATTTAAGAAATTTGGGGTTGTATCTTGCTAAGTCTCAAGTGCCTTTGAAAAGATGACAGATAGCTTCATCTAGGACTGAAACTGTCAGTGCTGTTGCAGTACAAATAAACAACTAAAGGTTTAGAAAGCCAAGCACTGTACAAACAGAATAATTGAATTCCTAATCCAAAGAACTGCTGGTATAAGATGACCTACCAAAATTCAAACTTATTGTCAGCCTTGTTTATTAAGGTCTTTTCTGACCGTCTAGTTTTTAAGACTTCCCTTTGTACCTCATCCTCACTCTGAAGATGCAAACTCTTTGCGTCACTAAAAAATTAACTGCGACGTAACACTACTTCCGAATTCACTTTTTACTGTAATACTTCTTCCTTCTTTCCAGTTTGATACCCTTTGCCATCTAAGCACAGCAAGCCTTTAACAGAGGTATGGTTTTAGGAATACCCATGTCTTTTGTAGCTTACTGAATAGTTAGAAAAGAAGATGCGATTGTACTTAGCACTTGATAAATTGGAGTTTCAGAATTACAAACTCTCTTACAGTTGAAGGAGCAAGAATTACAATGGTATAGTAGAATTGTAACGCCCAACTTCCCACAGTTACAGATGAGTTGTGACATTTCTGTATGGCAAAAAAAATTAGATAGTTTCAAGAATTTTTTTCTTATTCTTAGACTGGAGGGTCTTCCTAGCTATCTAGATAAAGGGTCCATATGCAAAACTACCCCTTCTTCCAAAGAGTTTCTCTGCTTAGTTACCTTGTTTCTCCAGTTCACTTACAGACTTCTTTTAACCAGATGTGCAATGGACCTACGTGTCAGAAACCAAATCAGTCAGTAAAGTAAGATACAAAAAAAAGTTACGTGATAGAATCCGGTTTGCTGTTTTCAGATGCTGTTTGCAAGACTGTATGGTACTTAATACTCTTAGCAGCAGCTTCTATAGCAGAAACAAAGGCACCCAAAGAGTCGGTACAAAATCTAAAACTTCTTTTTAAATCTTTTTTTCTTTCCAGGCTAACCAAATCTGAGAGTACAGATTCTCTCCTCTCTCAGGCAAGTGGAAGTAGTGGGAGTCACTATCCAGTTGCTGTAACAAAGAAGCGCTCTGAAAGATCAGTTTCTTTAGCTTCAATGCCATTGAAACAGCCTGGTCAGCCCCACAAAGTAGCCACTAAGGTTGGCTCCGCAAGTCGCATAAGCACAATCGAATCTGAGACTTCAAAGCCAGCTAAGGAATCGAGATCTCAGAAACATACAAGGGTAACGGTTTATGTTGTTTGCTTCCTGAAAATCATCTGCTTAACTTCTTTCCATGTGACTTCATTTTTTTTCTAACTCCAAGTAAACTGTCTTCATCTCTAGTTATTATTATTAAATTTCATCCTCTTCACTTGTGTAAGTGAATCCTGAAGGCACTGGGGAGAGTGCTGCAGAAGCAAGGAGTGAAAAAGTATGTAAGGAGTCTTATATCATGCCCAAGGAATTAAGGCTGAGAGAGATGAACATAGATTGTTAACGAACTCTTCCAGATTTGGTCAGTGGCTTGACGGCATTTGTCCAATGGATTAATGACAGAGACAAGATCAAAAAAGATAAGGCATTTGGGGTTTTTTTTGGTTGGTTGGTTTTGGGTGTTTTTCCCCTTCAGTCTTCTCAAAACAAGCGTGTTTTGTTTTGGGTTTGGGGTTTTTGGGTTTTTTCCTCTTTGACAATTTTTTATGCCAATACTTGGGATGAACTTTTGAGTGTATTTCTATTGTTTCCAAGATGCTGAAGGAGGTGGTTGCTAAGACTCTTCAAAAACATGGAATTGCAGATGATCACAAGTGCTTTGCATCATGCAGCCAGCGTCTGTTTGAGATATCAAAGTTCTACTTAAAGGTAACTAGAAGACACACTCTTACAGTTGGTTGTTCTTAGTTAAGCGAATCCATTCCTGAATAAAATTTGAGATGGACTGTGGGATATTCAGACTTGATTAAGCTAATATTTCCTAGTGTTGTGTTAGTAGTGTGTAGAGTCTGTGGATAAACCTCTGGACTTGTCAAATGCAGAAACTAGTTGTACAGTATATTTTGGTGGTTGTTTGGGTTTTTTTAACCTTATAAAGCAGTAGTCTTTTACGTCAGATAGTATGTTAAAGCAGCGGTCTGTTAGGTGATGTCATGCTTATGCTATTCTTTAGCTGTTGTAGCTATCTCCCAGCCATAGCTGTGACAGCTCAGCGTCTCCCGTGTTCGAAGGCTATTGGCTCAATAGGTACCTTGCACAACTGACTCAGAAATTCCAGTTCCCTGACATACTCACAGAATTCCTTGTAAATGCATTGAAAATGTGCACAACTATCTAACACATACTGACTTGGCAGCGCCGTGTAGAATTGCATCAACCTCGGTTTTAGGAGGAGATGAGAATTCTTTCCACAATACCTAGGACGCTTTGTGAGTCAATGCTTGAGCCTGTGTTACTTAGTCTGGGCACAAAATCGAGTTAAATTACAGTACAGGGTGTTTAAAAGCTATTGCTCACAACCTGAGCTGCTGTTTCTGTTCATTTGCATGTGTTTAGCCTACCAGTGTTTGTGAACTAACTCAGTTTAGCCAATTTCAGTAAAGGTGATTTAAGCTAAATGAAGTTGCAACTGAAGAGGGCTGAATGCTTACACAGACAATTAGAACACCTTGCTGATGAGCGCCAACTTCTTAAATAATCACAACACAGTTGTGCAGTCATTCTGTAAGCGGTCCCAGAATATGCCCTGAAGGAAGATCTTGTAATCCAAAGTCAGAAAGACTTGTGTGTAGGGATGAGTGAGTGGGGCAAATCAGATGGGTTCATGGTTCCATTCCAAGTAGAAGATCAAAAAGAAGAGTACTGCAGTGATCCTGTCCTGTGAAAAGCTGATCTAGAGAGAGGTGTAACAGGATTTTGTTCTCCTGAACTGTTTTGCAGCCCCAAGGTTGTAGGAGCCCTTAGAATCGTTTTCTGTTCTGCATGCTTCAGAAGCATGGTATCATAGGTATCATTTTCCTTTGGAGACAAGTAGTAAATGAATCTTCTTCATTTGCTTTTCTCTTCAGGCAAAGTTATGTGCTTGTTTTGTTTAAGAGAGTGGATTAGGTTGGGGTTATTGGACTTCAAAACAAACAAGCCATTCTAGGTTTTTCCTTTCTTGCACTAAATTGTTTTCTCCATGTGTGCTTTGCTGTTCTTTGACAGAACTCTGCATTGCAGTCTAAGCATTGATTTCCATGTTTATGTAGAAATAAGATTTCAGTCAAGACTGTAAGAACTTTGAATATCATTTAAGAAAAATGAGGGTAACACCCCCCTGGTTATTAGGACTTTTATAATCCAAATTAGAGTGAGCATATGAGTCTGCTAATGTCTGTGGCTTTGTGTTTCATATTTAGGATCTTAAAACTTCTAGAGGACTTCTTGATGAAATGAAGAAAACAGCAAATAACAATGCTAAGCAGGTAAGACCATTTGTTTATTTGTTCCAGTAACTAGCCAAGGCCAAATGTAGCTGTGGCAGCTTGGCTGTAGGATGGTTTAGTCCAGAGCCTTGAGAGACGAAGAGATGCTTTCCTTTGGCTGTGGGTCTCCTTTCACTCTCTGATCTCACAAAAACTTTCTCTCAAACAGAAGTCCCATGGCAAAATTGCCAGTTGAATTTATTGAGGTTTTAGACAGTATTCTAGTTATACCTGCCAATATGATGTGTCACAGTGAGAAGTGGAAATGAAAGCAATAAATGTTTCCACATCACTGGAAAAAAAAGGAGAGATGAGATTTTCTTCTTCATTTGAGAGAAGCCTGGATCATTAGGGAATTCTTCTTTCCTTGTGTTGAAGGAAATAACATTTCTTTTCAAAGGTTAGAAAGCAATAAAGGGATCTATGAAAACAAATAAATTTCTTAAAGAAGCAATGAAAATTAGTGATTTTAAGCTTGGGAATAACTGTAAGCACAAGGGATATCAGTCAAGCTTATTTGTGTGTAAGGTGGGACTTATGTGAACAGTAGCAAAGAGCAAATGACAGGTGTAAATATTCCTGTCCTCCAGAAATTAAGTAATTGATTGAAATTCTGAAAAACATGCTGAAGTGATTTTTGTGCTGGAAACACTAACTTTTTGGCGTTGTGTGTGCACCTGTTTGCTAGTACATGGAGAGAGTGAAGTAGCTCAATTCAGGGGATCTAAAAATGCCTTTTTCTAAAGACAAGGCATTCTGTAAAATTAAATACAATTCTTGGGTAACTATCCTCTCAGTTTATTAACAGCTCTTGCTCCTTGTGAATGGATTACTTTTCAATCTTCTTTAATAAACACCACACAGGTGGTGATAAAGGTGGTGATGAAGAAAAGAACATCTTATACACATTATCAATTCTAAGTTGCTTTCAGGAACTGGAGTTATGTAAATTGTTTGTTTCCTCATTTATTTTCCCAGGTGATTGAATGGGTTTTGGAGAAGACTGGCAAGTAGAGGCTGCTCCTCTCACCTTCCCAGAAACTGCGGAGAGAGCACTTCCGATTGTAACCAAAGCGTTACGCTGCCTAGCACACGCGCACACGTATCTACACACCAGAAGGACTTTGGTCAGTGTAATTATGTAGACTCAATTCGCAAGCGCTGTAGCACGTTTTTGAAACTTCTTATACTGAAAGTTCTAATTTTAAAAAAATTTGAAATGAAAAAAGTTTTTATTTTATATGCCTATTTATTATGTTTCATTGTTAAAAGGAATATAGCTTGACTTGGTTTGATAAAGCTTTGTATGTTTTTTCAACCAGTATATTTTTTATGTGAATAAAAAACCTACCAGATTTAATTTTAATATCAAAACTACTTTGTTTTTCCTTTTTTTGAAGATGTCTATTCTTTTTATTACCACTTGCTTTTATATAAACAGCTGTTTACAGCATCAACTGTTGACATTTTACAGAATAATTAAGAACAGTTCCTATTCTGCAGGTGAAAGCAAACATAATTACAATTTGAGTCACAATTATCTCTGTGTTGTAGTATAAGAAAAAAGCACGTCCTTTGAAACTTGGTGCAATGTCCCATTAAAGAAAGGATTGTTGTTTTACAGGCTGAATTTCTGGTATAATTTCACACATACTTTTCGTAACACTCCTTAGAAACAATTCATAACAAAGTTCTGAGATTTCTTTGTGCGGAGGAGGAAAAAATCAAAATGGTATCAGTAATGATGATTGTGAGAGCTGGGAAAGAGCTGGCATACTATGATGGAATGTAACGGAAAGAAGAATTTCTGCCTGAGTTGCAAGCACAGTAAAATACTAAATTCATCCTCAGTTTGCTTAAGTCTCAGGCATGTACCTGGCTTGTACTAGTGTAATTTTTCAAGTTAGTATTATGTTGAGGTGAGGAGTTCCTACCAAAACAAAGATACTTTACAGCTTTCAGTGTAAGGATTTCCTATTCATCATATAAACTAACGTGATTAAAATTGATAGAGATGCAGTGTTATTGTTTGCTATATTGTCCTGGAAGGAAAATGGATTAAGCAATACTAATATGAATGAAATGTAATATTATGAAAAAGTAATTGAACTAAACCACGCATAGGTTAGACTTAATACTGTAAAATCTACTCATTCTCTAAAGAGCCTTCCTGATTTTGTGACATTATTCTTTGCTTAATTCTATTTTGTGTAAAACCAAGCCCTAAGGAGGTTTTTCATGTCTAACAAGATCTTGCATTTAACTCTTCTGTTCCTTTGTTTGGACATGTATTGTTCTCCTGACCTCTGCAAGACCTTTTCTGTGTGGGTGTGTGCTTGTTTTAACCCCATGCGGAGGGGCAGTAGGAACCTACGTAGGTGTTCCACTCTGAGGATGGGCTCTAGCGAGTACAACGTGACTCTTGGCCCAGACAAACATGACCGCTTTGGAGCGGGATTACATTTGTCTGCAAAATGCCACACATTCATAGCATCCAGGTCAATAACTTAAAGGGTTTCACTGATTTGGTGAGATAAAAACACAATGAAGGTAGATAATGAAATAATTATTTAATAAGTGCATGCACGAATCTGCTCCAATGTATTAATTACTGCGTATGGCTCCCATTTCTTTGCATTCAAGACAGAAATTGTTTCTTTGTGTAGTTGTGTGAATACTCTTAGAGCCACACACTTTAAAATACATGAATGCTTACATTTCTAATGTGTTAAATTTAAAATACTTTTCCCATAAACCAAGAAATTAATCAAGATACTAATCTTCCTTAACATCCAATATTGAATAAAGAAAGTTTCTACTTCTCAATAGAGAGAGAAAAGCCTGAGGTTATAATCTTGTATCTTCAGCCTGAATGCTGATACTGTTGTCCAAACTCTAAAGCAAGCCACTGAAAGTTGCATTTCCTACTTAACTTTGGGGGGCTTTATATACTTGTAATTACAAAAAAATATTAGTTAAGAAATTATGCTTAAGTTGATAAGCAAAAGTATTGAAACTCTACATTTTGTAAAATACTTGCAGCTTGCTGCCATGAGCAAAGAAAATCCCTTTAAGGGAAGTAATTAATAATCTTTAACTGGCTTTCTTGGTGAAAAACTATCTGCATGTATCTGTAGAAGGGCTTCTATAAAAAGATAGAGTTTAAAATTTTTTTTTATTGTTTTCTCATTCCTCCCTTACCTCTCTGGTGTCCATAGTGAGCCCTGGGTTTAGATACTATCTTACTTCATGAGCAAGTAGAACTCAATGGTTATCGTTTTAATTAATTTTGTAGACTGAAAGGCTGGCCTGAAATAATCAGCAGGAAAGCAGTTAATGAAACATAAGCATTTGGATGTATTGTTTGTTTGCATGATTCCCAGTGATGAACTAATACAATGCTGCGCAGGTCTCCTTTGCTCTTTGTTATTATCTTGGGGTTTTTTTTAAGGTAAGTGATAACTAGTTTATTATCATGGCTTGATAACGCTGTGCCCCATTTGAGCTGTGATAACTGTGCTTGTGCATTCTCTTAATCTACAAAAAAGCATGCAAAATAATTTGACCTGGTCTACCCTAACAGCGCTAAATCAAATTGCCTTCCATCCGTCGTAGTTCAAAAACCTCACTAAGAGTTCGCACTCTTAGTGTTGTAACTTACGTGGTGCAGGATATAACATTGCCCTTTGCCTCTGAACTTCAAATTACTTTCTTGTTTGTGGCTGGCGAACCCAAATTTCAGTCTGCCCTGCGCATACTTTCCTGTAGAAGATTTGGGTGCTTGCTTTCAAGTTTTTGCAAGTCAGGGTAGAAGTCATATTCACCAATACACATTTATGGTGCTCCCATAATCCATGTTATGTGCTTATGCAAGATTGGGCCAAGACAACACTGATGTGGTTGTGATTATTTGGTGAGGTGTCTACTTCTAGTATTGCAATAATTGCCTGATGAATGTCACTGGGCTACAACAGCACTTAACTTGGGTACAAATGCTTTTCCAAATTCTCAAACTCTCCAGTTCTCCCTTGGGATTTGTTTTCTAATGCCTCTATATATACAAGCACAGAAATTCTGACAAAAGAAACAAACTGAAAAGCTAATCCTATGTGGAAAAAGTGGCCGATATGTTCACAAGAGGTTGTTATCTTTTTGTTACTTTAAATATTTAATGGTTTTTCCCTCATGCTTTTAAAACTAAACTTTTGCCCGGGTTAATCTAGGGGTTCACTTGTATCGAGCAGGCTGAGTTTCTTGAAATTTTTCTAGTGTATTATTGCTCTTTAAAATCAAAGTCACCACTGAATTCAAAAATGTCCATTTTAGATACTTTACTAATGTTATATATAGTAATAGTGTGTGTATATATAGTAATATATATTATATATACTCTCTATAAAGTAAATAGCCCCAGTAAACAGGTAGTTATAAACCTGGCAGTTTGACTCTTTTATGAGAAGTAAGATAAACTTACAAATCAAAGAGTATAACAATCTGGAGCACATTGTTTGTTTAGGTTCTCATTCCACTTCCACTGAAATCAAAGAAGTTCCCATTAACTTTCCAAGGTGAGTAAGAGGACCTTGAGAAGTCTCTTTGCAGATGGAAATCAGATCAACCTCTACCTCAAACCAGCTGTGCTTCCAAAGGTGAAGAGCTGGATGGAGGGGGCTCCCATGTCCTGTGGGAAGAAGGAATACTTATCTGCCACACAAAACCCCCCCTTCTTTCTTTCTTTGGCAAAGACCAATTCTCAGGATGTTCATGGCAGTGATTTACTTGACAGTGCACAAAGAGTTGTGTTCTGATTTATAAAACGCCTTGAGAGATGCTAGTTCCACTTAAAGAGCAGGACTGTTAGGAAACACCAGTATGCTTCCCTGAACACAATCAGATTGGCTTTATTTTGTTTTATTTTTTTAACAAACACCTTGTATCACGTTTTTCCAGTAACATATACGTTCCAATATGTATCCAAGTCTTTCTAACGGTGAAGCTGCTATACAGACTTTCTGATCAGACCATTCAATTTACAGTCAGTATTTTGTGAAGAGAGTGGAACTCCAGAATACCCCTGTTCAGGATTTCCGTGAGGCTGATCCGCCATACCTCGGGTAAGACTGAAAGAACAGACGTAAAATCCCATGGTTAGCTTTTCTATTTGGGCCACTAAGTTAAGAATTAGAGAGGCAGAAAACCATCCTTTTTTCCATAACTGTTTATAAGAACTAAGGCTGGCACGTGTTGGCCTCACTCCTTCAATGCGGAAGCTTGAGTAGAAGTTTCTGTTCTGGGGGGGGGTTTTGACTCCTGTAACTGCCCAGTTCACTGTAAGCAACAGAGAAAGCACTGTCACTTCAGCAGGTGAGTCTGAAAGACCTTGCCCAGACCCTCCCTGTGGCCTTTCAGAAAATGCCAGCAGCAGAAAAAATGCTGCATAGTTACACCTCAACAGTGCCACTATGACCTTAACACCACGCTTACTCGACAGAAAGCACCAATGTGCCATTGACAGTACGTTAATACTTTTAAATTTTTAAAAATCATTCTGTCGATAGTTGACAGGTGCTCAAGTAACTGAATTCTTAACAGAATGACTGAGGTTTAAAATGTATTTTTCCCCAGCGCAAAGCCAAAGGACAGCCTTCCAAACAGCTTGTTTGGGTACAAAGTAAGCTCACCTCGCAAAAATCCAATAAATGACTTTATTAAATATATTCTTTTCCTCTAAAATATAAATATTCACTATACTCTTATAAATGTGGAGTAGGTCCATATTTCATTTGTCTATCCATCCAAATATGAATCAGTTCAAAATCTGAAAATGAAGAAATAGCATCTGTATTTATCATTATTTTTTCTATAA